TCATTTTCTATACAGCAGTTCATACACGTTTTCTTTCATGACGTTGACTGCAATACTCACAATGTAACAACTCTTTTCCCACTTTCTCCTTGTAGTTATCTCTTCCCTGTGTCCTTCTTTCATATGTATTCCTGCCCTCTAAGCTATCTCCCTGTGCAAATACTGCTCTTCTAATCTCCCATGATTGATTCTTCTAAGGAATATATCTACCTGGGGTAAATGTTCACCTTGTATGCCTGTCTGTTGTTTGGCTGGAAGCCACGGGAGTGAGTTAAATTCCAGTCCTGAAGGGTGACTCGGGGGTTTCACCAGTCTCATCAGACCAGTAAGCCTGGTCTTTTTTATGGCAGGTACATTTTTTCAATAACATAAATGATGATTATGCACATGGACCTTGCCAGGTAGAATACACAGGAATCAAAGAGACTACATCAGTGGAAAGAGACAAAAAGCTCAGTATCATTGGTCAGAACAAGACCAGGGCCAACTGTGGAACAGATCATCTGTTGCTCGTATGCAAGTTTTAGTAGAAGCTGAAGAAAATTAAAATAATTCCAGGAGAGCCAAAATACAACCTGGAATATACCCTACCTGAATTGAGATACCACTTGAAAAGCAGATTTGACACATTGAACACCACTAACCTAAGATAAGACGAGTGTGGGATGACATCAAGAGCATCATACATGAAAAAGCAAAACATCATTAAAAAGACAGGAAAGAAAGACAAGACCAACACAGATGTCAGAACAGACTCTGAAACTTGCTCTCAAATGGAGAATAGCTAAAGTGAATGGAAGAAATTATGAAGTAAAAGAGCTGCACAGAAAATTTCAAAGGACAGTTTAAGAAGACAAAGTAAAGTATTATAATGAAATGTGCAAGGACCTGGAGTTAGAAAAGCAAAGGGTAAGAACATGCCAGTATTTCTCAAGCTGAAAGAACTGAAGTAAAAATTCAAGCCTCAAGTTGGAATATTGAAGGATTCTATGGGCAAAATATTGAACAATGCAGGAAGCATCAAAAACGATGGAAGAAATACACAGAGTTAGTGTAGCAAACGGAATTGGTTGATATTTAACCATTTGAGGAGGTAGCATATAATCAAGAACTGATGGTATTGAAAGATGAAGTCTAAGGTATACTGAAAGAATTGGTGAAAAAAAGGCTCTAGGAATTTATGATAAAACCAATGAGATGTTTCAACAAACAGATGAAACTGCAAGCGCTCATTTATGCCAAAAAATTTGTAAGATAAGCTCCTAGCCAACCAATTGGAAGAGATCCATATTTGTGCCCATCCCAAAGAAAGTGATCCAACAGAATGAGGTAGTTATTGAACAATACCAGTAATACCACACGCAAGTAAAATTTTGCTGAGAATAATTTAAAAAATGGATGCAGCAGTACATAGACAGGGAACTGCCAGAAAGCAAGCTGGATTCAGAAGAGGACATGGAACAAGGAATATTATTTCTTATATCAGATGGATCTTGGCTGAAAGCAGAGAGTACCATAAAGATGTTTACCTGTATTTTATTGACTATGTGAAGACCTTTGATTGTGTGGATAACAAATTATGGATAACATTGCAAAGAATGGGAATTCCAGAACACTTAATTGTGCTCAGGAGGAACTTGTACATAGACCAAGAGGCTATCATCAAATAGGACAAAGAGGATATTGCGTGGTTTAAAATCAGGAAAGGTGTGTGTCAGGTTTGTGTCCTTTCACCATACTTATTCAGTCTGTATGCTGAGCAGATAATCAGAGAAGCTGAACTCTATGAAGAAGAAAGTGGCATCAAGATTGGTGGAAGACTCATTAACTCATTAACCTACAGTGTGCAGCTAAACAGTTTTACTTGAAGCACTCACTGATGAAGATCATAGCCTATAGTCTTCAGTATGGATTACTCCTCAACATAAAGATAACATAAATCCTCATGACTGCACTAATAATAATCATGATAGATGGAGAAAAGATTGACATTGTTAACGATTTCATTTTACATAGATCCACAAGCATGTAAGCGGCAGTCAAGAAATGAAAGGATGAATTGCATTGGGCAGATCTGCTGCAAAATACTTCTTTAAAGCGTTGATGAGCAAAAATGTTACTTTGAAGACTATGGTGCTCCTGACCCAAGCTGTTGTCTTTTCTATTGATTCTTATGCATGGAAAGCTGAACAGTGAATAAGGAAGACCAGAGGAGAGTTGATACATTTGAATTACGGTGTTGGCAAAGAATATTTAATGTAGCATGGATTGCCAGAAGAATGAACAAATATGTCTTGGAAGGAGAACAGCCAGAATACCCTTCAGAAGAAAGAATGGCCAGACTTTGTCTCCTGTGCTTTGGTCATATTATCAGGAGGGACCAGACCCTGAAGAAGAATACTGTGCTTGGTAAAGTAGAAGGTCAGGGAAGAATTGGAAGACCCTCAGTGAGTTGGATTACACAGTGGCTGTAACAATGGGCTCAAGTATAGGACAATTATGAGAATTGTACAGGACTGGGCAGTGTTTCATTCTGTTTGCTGATTATGAGTCGAAACCTACTTGATGGTACCTAACAACAATACCAACAATTAATAACTATCTTACGGGGAGATACTTAGACTCTGTGAAGTATCCTCTTTTTCATCACATTTTGCCTACTAAGTTTTGCATTCACTGATAATTCTTCCTTGCAGAGATTATTTCTGTAGTATTGTTTAATTATTGTTTGCTGTTGCCCTCATTAATATTTGTTAATTAGAATTCTTTTGTAATGAGTGCCTGTCTTTTCTCCCTAATTTATTTGTTTATTCAATTATTTATATCAGTATGGACTAACATATATTTATTCTATTTTGTGAGCTATAATCTAATTTTATCCTTATTTGTTTTGTTGTTCATTTTACCCCAGCTTTGGTCATATTATTCTTTTAGATGGCTCCTATGTCGGGTCTGACTTGACGGCACATTACAACAACAACAACATATGTTTTACACTTGTACCAATGTTTTCATTTTTTTGAGCGCTTTATTTTCTGCATCACAAGATATTTTACACTCATCTAGTATTTTTTCTGTCCTATACCTGGAAGTAACTGTTTATCTAGGAATGGGTAAAAATGCAGGTTTTGAGCCCTGTTCCATGACATTTTGATTTTAGTAGCTCTGAATGGTCTCTTGTATCGGTTAGGGATCCTACTGGATACTTGCTGCGTTAGCTTTCAACTCTGCAAGCAAAGCTGTAAGACTTTGTTCATTCTGTTCATAGCCTTTGCAGTTTTTAGAACTTTCTGTTCTATTTCTGGTCTTGCTGCTCCTCAGTTTAAACATGCACAGTTGTTTTTGGTCATCTTTTAAGTCTCAAGTTACATGTCACCCCTGCTGAAAGATCTACTCTAATAGTATATTTAAAGTCATCTTTTTCTCTCCAGTTATTTTCTTAACAGTCATGATATTTAATTCTTTTCTTACTCATTTGTTGTTTTTATGCCCCACTGGAATATTAGCTACATGAATGTAAGATTATGTCTATCTTGATTGTAGTTATTTTACCAATTCATTACCTGGTATGTGGTCAATACTCAAACACTTGTTAAATAATTATTAAAATTATTAAGGTCTTACTCAGTGTTATAAAATAGTCATAGATAGATTTTGAATGTCTGTGGATCCCACTAACTGTACCCACTGCCATTGAGTTGATTCTGACTCATAGTGACTCTTAAAGGGTTTCCAAGGCTATAAATCTTTATGAAAGCAGACTCCCTTATCTTTTTCCTGCAGAGTGGCTGGTGGGTTCAAACCACCAACCTTTTGATTTGCAGCCCAATTCTTTAACCACAGCTCTACCAGAGCTCCTTCCAGTAACTATAATGCAGTGTATTAGGACTGTGCCAAGTATTGGGAATACAGAGGTGAGTAAGACATGATTTTTGTCTTTATAAGTTTTATTTTTTGTCTGAAACTAGACGTTTCTGATTCAAAATAAAACAAAAGCCTTTTACCTTGCAGCCAAACAACAGACAGGCCTATAAAGTGAACAATAACACTTCGGGAATGTACTCAGAATAATCAACACTTTGAGACCATAAGGGCTGCACTGGCCCAAAAACAAAGTTCAGAAGGCAAAAGGGCAGGAAAAAAGGAGGAATGGAAACTGAGGAAACCAGGGAGGAGGCGGGAATACTGCTGTTATATTGAGGGAATTGCCACTAATGTTGCAATGAAACAAAATGTGTATAAAATTATTGAATGGAAAACTGATTTGCTCTGTAAACTTTCACCCAAACCACAGTTTAAAAAAAACATACTTTTACTTTTTAGATAATTTTGGGATCCCTTTTTCTGTTCTTTCTTTTTTTAATTGTTAATGATCACATTGTCACTACTGTAGTCTTCTGGTACCCAGATTGTTAATATCAACAGGTTGTATGATTTTTCTCTGGTTCCCTAATTTTACAATTAAATTTCTTTATAAACTTTGGGTGATGGCATTTAGTCCCAGAAATATATTCATATCATATATATTGATTTAAATGGAAACTGTCCTATTCATTTATCAATAATTGATTTAGTATAGATCCTATACCCTCAATCTCTAACAAGCCAATTTGTAAAGTATTCCCATGATATATTTGTTTCCTGTAACAGCAATAACACTTCTCTCTGTTTTCCCCACAAAAAGTCAGTGGAAAAAAGTATTTTCCAGTAAATGAGGCTCCAACACTGACTGTATTGTACAACTTTTGGGGAATTTCTGTTTTGCCTGAGTCTTTATAAAATGTTGGTGGAAGGCACATGTATCACTGCCGTTGATTGGTAAATGCAGAACAGGTTTGAGGAATTTTTTGGCATTTACTAGTATTCTTATTTCTTGGATGCTTAACGTAAATGGCTGAGTGGGAGAAAGATGCAGCAAAAGCCTTTTCCCCCTAATGTGTTACTTAGAAGGAGCCTTGGTGGCACAGGGTTAATTGCTTGGCTGCTAATTGGAAGGTTGGTGGCCAAACCCATTAGCTGCTCTGTGGGAGAAAAATGTGGCAATCTGCTTCCATAAGGATTTATAGCCTTGGAAACCCTATGGAACAAACAGTCCTCTTCTGTCCTATAGGGTTGCTGTGAGCCAGAATTGACTTGACAGCAATGGCTTTTTGGTTTTGTGCCACTTTTGATGTGCTTTATAATTTTGTCTGTTTTTTAAAGATATATGATACGAATTTCTAATGCTTCTTTCAAAATTTTACTGCTATTTTATTTCTGGTAGTGACTTAAACAAAAGATTTAACATGTAATGATAGTCACATTTAATTGATTTTTTCATAGGCTGTACAGCAGGTTATTACTAACCTACTAATTGGGAAGATAGAGCTTCGTTCTGAAGATTCTCCAGATATTTTGCCATACTCTCATGAAAGACGAGTTGAAAAGCTTGTTGTTCCCCTTGGTGAAGAACTTAGAGCCATCCAGAAGGCATATATCCAAGTAGGCCATTTTAATCACAATTCAGGGTTTTAATAAGTGAATTAGTAATGTAAATATTTTCGTTAACAGAATCTGGTTGTGAGAATATGCAGTTACCTCATTTTATATCATTAATATGGTGATGATGACGTCTTTGAAATTATAATTTGTGGGATCAGCATCATGTTTTACATATAGCATCATGTTTTACATATACTAGAACCCTATTATCTAAGGGGGAAATACAAAATGAATTTATCATGATTGAAATTATCTGATTTATTTGTTCTTATTGTTGTCTTTATTCTTTGTTTCCCTTTTGAAATGTAAACTATATGAAAGTAGAGACTCCATTGGTCTTAACCACAGTGTCCCCAGCATTTAGGACAATGCTAGATACATAATAAATGCTCAATAAATATTTGTTCAATGAATCAAAGAGTAAAATTAAACATACTCTATACATTTTGATTTATTGAACTGTGTACAAATTTTTACTCTGTAAGACTCTTCTAGACACTCAGGATGCAACACTCTTATCACTGAATGCCAAGGAAGAAACCAATAGCCCTCCTTTCATGGTATTTAAATTATAGGGTGTGTGGAGGGCAAGTAGGGAGGAGGGCCATTAAGAAATAAATATAATGTCTTCCTAAATTATAATTAGATCAAATAATAGCTTGTGCTGATTCTTATGCGGAATGGTATCTAAGGTGTCAAGTACTTTAAAATTTTATTTTTGACTTTGCTGTGTTTACTTAAAAACTTATTTTAAGACAAACTTTTTAATGTGTAACTCATTTTAATATGTAAGGAAATGATTGTATTTGAAAATATGCTTCTTAAAAAAGCTTATATTGTTTTAAAATTTGCAGATTTTGGAAGCATTTGCCAGTTCTTTGATTCAGAGGAATGTTTTGATGAGAAAAGATATCCCCAGCCTTACAAAATATCAGCTAATTCTGGCAAGAGATCAATTTAGGAAAAACCCATCTCCAGATATTGTGGTAGGTATTTCTAAATACATTTTGTTGATAGATTTAATTTTTACTCAGAACCAGGATGAAATGTAGATGATTTAAAAAAAAAAAAAAAGCCTATTTTTAACAATATATATAAAAAATATTAACCCATTAAGAATTCAGATATGGTTTATATTAATTATAAAAGCTTGAAAAAATATAGCAAGAATACCATTTAATGATTTGAATTAAGATGAATTTATCTTAACTTTTAATGAAGAATTTGTCTTTTAGTTTATTTCTAGATTGCAAAGTCACAGGCTCATGAGGAGGTAGGTTCTAACTAACTTTTAGATGCAGAACATTTAGTCTTATTCTTTATACCAGAGGTTAGAGGAAGCATCACATTAAGTGACTTATTTCTAATCTCTGTAGGAAAAATACTTATATGAACTGGAATATATCCTGCAGGCTAGGTACAGAGTTAGAAGAGAAGCTCACAAGCACAGAAAGGCCCTGAGTGTCTCTTTAAGCTGAGAGGGAATCAGTGTACAAAAGAATAGAGGCAATGGGGCAAAGGCATGAAGGAGACATTGAGCCAACCATTTTTCCTGGGATAGAGGATTGAGGAAGTCAGATCTGGTTAATCTAGATTGTGACCACATGGGAGTGAGATTTAAATGTTAGAGTAAGAATTGTGGCCTTTATCCTGTAGCACTTGGGATGACCTCTGTGTGAGCCTTTTTTTTTTTTTAAATGAAATTGCAGTACATTTTATACTAAATTTTATTAATATTGGTAGGAGTTAAGGGCCATTGAAATTTGAAATCCTAAATCTAAACCTGTTGAACTTAATCTTACTGGTGAGGGTTTATTTTGCAGAGAGGTGCTTTGACCCTTTTAGGTAATTAGGGTGCCATTTTAGGGCATTTATCACTATCCTGGAAACATTTAAGATTACTGTCACTGAATACTTATGTTAGGTTGTTGTTGGGTGCCAGTAAGTTGATCTGACTTATAGTGACCCTATGTGACAGAGTAGAACTGTCCTATTGGGTTTTCTTGGATGTAATTTTATGGATGCAGATCATCATGTCTTTTTCTCATGAATGCCCATGTGATACAAACAGGTTAAATGCTATTGAAAGTATGATAAAGGAAAGAATGAAAATAGTGTTTCAATGCTCTTCTTTAGAAACTATCATATCATTTAGGTATACCTGTTTTGTCCTTCTAGAAAAGGAATGTCTACTTCACTTTTCTATGAGAGACAGTAGTGTATAAAGTAATGGTAAAAAGCACATAGACTTTGGGCCAAATTCCCTATGTTCAAATACTAGCTCTAGTACTAACCAGCTGTGATGATGGCTTCCTTCCCTATAAACGGGGCATAAAAATAGTACCTGTCTCTTAGGGATCTTATTAAGATTAAATGAATTTATACAAGTAATGTGTTTAGAACAGTGTCCGGCACTCAGTGCCAGATATTATATGGCATGTATACTTGGTGTTAAATGTTGGTGTTGAACACTTTGATTAAATATTTGTCCTAATCACCAGAAACATTTATGAAGACAGACCATATGGAATTATTTTTTTACTGTATCCTAAATAGCTAGCTTACCAAAACCAAACCAAACTTACTGCCATGGAGTTGGATCTGACTCATAGCGACCCCACCTTAGGTTTCCGGGGCGGTAGTACTACAGAAATAGATTGCCTAGTCTTCCTTCCAAGGAGTGGTTGATGGGTTTGAACTCCCAGGTGCTTAGTAAGTATTTTTAAAAGAACAAATGTATCTGTGTAGTGCCTCAGAAACCCACAGTTGCTATTAGTCAGATATAACTCGATGGCAGTGAGTTTGGTGTTTTTTGGTGAGAGAGAAACAGAATATAACAAATATTTCTCGCCTTGCTCTCTTTAAACTTTCTTTCCTGTCTAGTTAAAGAAAAATTAAATAAAGGGAAAGATTTCATGTGAAAAATATATTGGCACCTTTCCACATATAACATGACATTTATAGAATGGATCAGTTTTAACCAATATAGAAAGGAATAATTATTATGAACATTTCAGTTATATTGCAAATGTTATACTTACTGCTGGCCTGACCAGTTGGGCTAGGAGCAAATATCTCATTTCTTTCTTTGTTTAAATTTGGTGTATGCTTTTGTTTTCTAGGGAATACAACAAGGAATAATTGAGGGAGAGTTTGCTATTTGTATTAGTTTATATCATGGTTATGAATTATTACAGCAAATGGGAATGAGATCATTATATTTATTCCTTTGTGGAATTATGGATGGAGCTAAAGGTAAAGTATGTAAACCTATTTAAAAAAATTTGATAGACATTATTTTGGTTAGAGGCATATAACAGATTTAGATTCCTGAAAAATGTTTTATTTTAAAAAGCAATGGAATAATTATATAACATATGGCCTTGTTTATTTGTTTTTGATAAACTTCAGGGAAAAAAGCAATTCATTAATATATATGTGTATGTGGAACTGAAAATGATGGTTTTCATGTTTAAATTGGAAAAAATTGCATTTATTGCTAACAGATAATTTTTAGATAAATAATTTGATTATTTTAGTTATTAAGTTTACTTATTTGGAAAGCCTTTTCTTCATTTATAAAGGAATGACTCGGGCAAAAAATCAGCTTAGAGGAAATGAAGACTTCATGAAACTCTATAATCATCTAGAGTGCACGTTTGCACATACACGTAGTACTTCAGCAAGTGGTGTTTCTGCCATCCAGAAAGGTCTGGTTTCTCTTTTAAAATGTTATATTGTATCTCTTCAAGATTAATTTTGAAATTTTGCTCCATTATTGCACATGTCTATTTAAAATGCTTAAAGATTTTATTCTTTAAATTACAATTAAATGAGCTAATATGGGAGCTCTGGTAGCATAGTGCCTAAGGCACTTGACTGCTAACCAGAAGGCTGGCAGTTCAAACCCACCAGCCACTCCTCGGAAGGA